AGAGGCGCGGACGCGCTTTCTCGTTTCATTCAAATGCAGCTTGCCGTCTTGCGTCTCAGTTTTTGATTGTATTGAAAATGAAATCGGAGGAATTTAGTATTAATACTACTATAATTTTGCTGTAGTGATCATATTGTCCTGACGATTGTTTTGTACACTGTTCATAATGGATTTATAAACAGGTAAGATTTCAAAACATTAATCTCAATTCAATATTTCATATCCCCGTATTTATATATTATTTTAGGTAAACAAAAACAAAACATCCGTGTAATAAGTTAAGTATGAATATACAATACATTATCCCTTAAATGTCAACCTTATAGTTTGAACGTTCGTTCGTCTTGGCTCAAAGTCACTTGCTGCGAACTTTTCTTCGCGGAAGCTTTGCGTTAAACAAGTGGGATAATGAGATATTTAATCTCTAATCAATATTTTTTTTCCAATTATTTGCCCAGTTAGTTTTGGTTGAGGTAAAAGTTACCTTGCATTCGCTAGCTAACAGTGGGTGGTGGTCACGAAGATGACTGAGCAAATTTGATGCGTTTCCCCCTTTTGCAGCTACTTTCTTCTTGCAAGATCAGCAGACAGGGTGACCGTCCTCGATTAAATTGCCTTCAGGACTCTTGTAAAAGCCCAAATACGACCAGACCACCGATTTGGTTCTCTTAGATGGCTGAAAAATCTCCCGAGCGCTGTCACTGCCTTCCGCCATTTCGTCTCGTGCAAAAAAAAACAACAACAACATTGCATGCTGCTTTTGCGTCAGACTGATGCTGGCTGGACAGGATTTACCACGAGTTTTCAAAATCGCGATAATCAAATACGGTTTTGATGATAATTACATTTTAAACGATAATACTAACCATCAGGGCATTGTTTCGTGATTTATCGTGAAACCGGTTATCGTTCCATCCCTAGTCGACCAGAAGAGGCTTGGTTGACCAAAATTTTATTAGTCGCAGAAAAAAAATCCACATTTGCAAAGTCATGCAGTCCGTGACGCGGATAGATCGTTAATGACTGGTCTTTGTGGTAATATAGTAGGCTACATCGGGCAGGAAATCCAAACGCTCGCCTATCATTCATGAACCTCAAATATGGCTTATCATCTGAAATATGTAATTAGCAGCAATTTTACATGGACAAAATGTAGAGAAATGTGCACTATAAGTGTGTGTGCGGAGTGTGGAAGCTAAATAGTAGCGCTCACTGCAGGACAGACAGAGGCGCCAGTGCGGTCACTTGCTCTTAAAATACTAATTTTACAGTCATTTTTGGTCATACAGATAAGAGTAATACATCTTTCAAATCTGTAAAGACTACGTTTATGTGTGTGCACCCAGAATAACAACAAAACATTGTGCTTTTGTAAAATAATAAAAACAAACAGGATGCGCTTTCTGCCGTCCCAGTCTCTGTGAACTTGAGCGCGAAACTCTGTGTGCTTGCCTTACAGACATAAAAAATTTATCTATAGAGAGTGAAATGTCTACTTTCAAATGAACCAGTTCAAATGGAATACAAATATTCTTAGATTATGTAATACGTATGAAACCTGCATACAGGTGCATCCACTACTGCGGAGATGGCGAGTCAATGTAGCCGACTTCATCTATTAAACCGAGAACACCGAAGCACTAATTTATCAATAAGTTATTAAAATGTTAATGCAGACTCCTTACTGTTTTTCCTTGACACATTCATAATTGTTACTTCTGCCGGTGTGCTGTGGCAAGCTTTATGTGTGCGCTTGAGCGCTTATTTGGCTACGTAGGCAATTAAAGGCTCATTATTATGATTTAAATGGTTTATTAATAAACGTGTGATTACTCGACTAATGCTTCAAATGAACGATTACAAGTCGACCAGAAAAACCATTAATCGAGGGCAGCCCTACTTCTATCTCATCCAATCATAATGCGTATTAAACATGTATCCTTTTAAAGGAGACATATTATGCCCCTTTTTACAATATGTAATATAAGTCTCTGGTGTCCCCAGAATGTGTCTGTGAAGTTTCAGCTCAAAATACCCCTCAGATTATTTATTATATCATTTTGAAAATGCCTAATTTGAGTGGAAGCAGAAACACGCTGTTTTTCGTGCCTGTCTCTTTAAATGCAAATGAGCTGCTGCTCCCCGCCCCCTTTTCCAGAATAGAGCTGCGCCATTACAGCTCGTACCTGCTAAAAA